GATATCATTGATGATTTCAAAAACTTAACCTAACGCAGAATGGTGTTATGGCGTTATGATAAATTATAATTTTTATTATTTCCCCCTCATTTTCCCCCTGTATCCGCCATGGCACCAGTGGTAGCCTTTTGCATATCCTGGAAAAGAGACCTACGCACGCCTATTAAGATTCGATATTATTAATATTATTTATATGACAAGCATAGATCAATATATTGATGTATATTCTATACAACATTCACTATGAGAAATCATTGACATTTTACGGTTAAAAGTTGAAAGTTGTCACATTTAAAACGTTTTTGTTTTAAAAGTGTACCAGATCTAAATCGTACAATATTATAAAACCGTTTTGTTTATTAATCATTACATTTATAGAATATGTGGAGTATTAAAACATTTAAAACCATTGTATAGTATGGTTTTGATTCATGCAATTAGTTATGATATTTAAAAATAGAAATTTGTGGTTTGTTTTTTAAGGTTTAAATAATAGCTGGGTTGTAATCTTGTTGTATCCATTAAATATTTAAACCCTCTTATAAATTATGTTGATAATGAAATTATATAATTTTATGATTATAGTTATTTTTATTTTGTTTTTATGATATTTCATTTAAAACTAATCCTAACACTTTATCTTCTAACATCATTGTAACAGACCCTGTAATAAAGACCTGCACCCGTTTGTATGACAGTAAATCGTTTAATTTTAGTTAATTATTATTATTTCTTTATTGACGGAAAAACTCCATTTATAAAACATTATACATACAAATTATGTAATGAATAACAAATTAATTAAAATTATAGTTGATGAATAATATTGAAATTTACATTTAATTCATATAATTAAATATATATGTGATAAATAATTTTACAACCATAATTAACTGTTAACTACAATTAATAACCATAGTATTCCCTATACCTAGCTATCAATATATTCACAGGTGATGATTTTAAGTATATTTTAGAAACATTATTAATTAAGAAATTTTCTTGATTTCTGGTAGATTTGGTATTAATTGGAAAATGTAATCGTTCCAATAAATAAGGGCAATCTATAGATTTAATAGTTTTTACAAAAGTTAAAAATGAATGTTACTTCTCCTTTTATTTAACGATGGTATATTAAAATATGATAATACTCAATTATAGTTGATTATCATTAGATTATTTAATTCATTAAAAACGTCTGCAAGTGTTATATCAAAATTGTTAAAATAGAAAAGAGATTCAAATAATTTAATAAAATGAGTTTTTGTATACACCTGAGAAAAATTTGTCAAAAATATTAACTTTATCTTGACCATTGGCGGCTTTAACACTATTAGAATTAACGTTGCTTAGAAACGAGTTATGAGATTTTTAGTCTTTAAAGAATTTCCAAAATATTTTGGCTTATTTTTTATTGAATTTTGCACTTAATTCATATTAATATTAAAGTCTCTTTCCCTTATTATTTTAGATTTGCTTCTCAAGTTAGAAAATTTAAGGTAATCTAAAAAATTATTTGAATTCTTGTAAGTAAAATGATTTAATTTCTTTTCTTTAATAAAACGATTTAATTTTTGACTAGAACATGTAGGAAAGTTTAAATTATTAGATACTAGATACTGAAAATGTTGGAACAAAATAATTTATAATTGAAAAAATATTAGAGCAGCGTTTCTCAAACTGTGGGTCGCGAGTCAATTTTTGGGGGGTCACGATAAGTTTTTTTAATTATACAGATTGTTAAATTTTTGGCAATGGTGGGCATCAAAAACAAACACAGAAACAAGCTCCAATTATCGCACTCCTTGCGTTTGAAAGTATCTAAAATTGACGTCGATGTTGATGCTGTTATCAACAATAGCAAGAAACAAGCACATTCATCACATAAGCCTAATTATTAATTAAGTATTATATTATTATTATAAGTATATTATTCTAATTATTATTATTATATAGTAGTAAATAAGTAATAAAAAAATTTGTTTTTTGAAATTATTTTTTTGATTTTGTAAATGTAAAACTAAAGTGGTTGCGATAGATTTTTGAAAGAAAATTTGGGTCGCGGTCCTAAAAAGATTGAGAACCACTGTATTAGAGTTAATAAATTTATATTTTAATCTATATCGTGATACTGACAAATATTTTCCCAATTCGTAGCGTTTAACTTAAGAATAATTTTTCTGTAATTTGTTTTCTTCTAATTATATAAAATTTCGTGATTTATCTGGTTATTAATACTATAATAAAGGACTTAATAATAAGAGACAGATGATGTATATATCGACATTAACAGTAGATAAAGTATTAAACGAAACAGAACAAGTATCCGAGTTAGTTATGAGTTATTACATAATCGAGTAAAATATTATTTTTATTTAAAACATTATTAATTTGTTTAAAATTTAGAAAGGATAAATTGTTAAAGAAAAGAGAATTTACGATAGAAAAAGCATCTGAAGGAAAATTAAATTCATCTAACATTAAAAATTCAATTGGAACTGGAGGTTATTTTTGAGTTAATTACAATAAATTAAAATTTAAAATACATATTTTTTCGTCCACAATGAATAATTAATTACTAAAGTATTATAACAAAAACAATGTCTCAGTATTGAGAAAACTAGTATCAAGTTAATTGTTAAACAAAATATTATATTTTTGGTTTATAGCGCAAGCGTATATGACCGTGAAAACATTAAAATATGTATACGTAAAAAGTAAAAAATGTATGGGAAATTAGATAAGTTTCAATAGGAAATGGTAAACGTATATAAATTAATATAATATAATTTATTTTTGCCTTCTAATCTAATTTCTTTTATTTAAACTTATTTTATCGGAGAAATTATTGTCAAACAAACGTGCTTTTACCAAATATTGTAGTAAATTATGTAGATTTTAGATGTATTATAAACTTATAAACAACTATAAAAGTTATATAATTTTAGGTCGGAACTAATACTTATCTTGATTTTGTAATATTTTTATGTAATTATATAAACACGGGAGTACAAAAAAAAAAAAAAATAGTGTGTACGTCGAAATACCTAAAGCTAAATAGATCATTATATTTCTACCACCCCTAATAATAGAGATTATTATTATTAACTTGATATTTTTTTAAACAACATAATTAAAGTCTAAAATATCTTATTTTATTATGCAACTAAAACAAGTACAAATTATATAGATGTACAATTAATGTGATAACTTAATATCGATTCATCAATCCTTTTATCTTTAATTAATTTTATAATTCTTTTCGACCAATCCATTGCTACATTTTACATTCCTACATACTCTACCACGTACAAATTGGTAGTTATAAGTCAAATTAATTAAATAATCTGCAGTAGATTAATTTAGTTAGTCTATTTGGACTCTTTTTTTCTTAAATTAAGAATTTTATCGCCACACTGTTATATTTATATTATTTAAATTTTTTGTAATTTATATCTAATTCATAAATATTTAATAGAGAATCTTAAAATTATGAAAAAAAATAAGGTGTAACTAAATATTTGTATATTTATGAATAATATAAATTGTTGTATAATTGTTGTTATAAGTTTAATTTAATGAAAAAATAGTCAAGTTCCGATTCAATTTTACGTATAACCCATCCAGTTTATCTTACATTCGGCAACAATCATAATTTGAAAAAATATGATCCTAAAACTATTTTTTATAATAGGATTATAATATTTTTTTCAATTTAATACATTTTCGGAATGCTATTTTTTCTCTTTAAATCTGAACGATTTCCGAGAGCCAAAATAAACTGGATAAGTTATAACTCATAAGATCAGAAAAGATATATTAATAATATATTTATTTTATATTTATCTCGTTTTGCATTAATACATTTAGATTTTTTAACTGAAGTTTGTGGTAAATAAATAACAATTTGTAACAATTTTTTTTATAATTAAATTTTGCAAATAAAACAAAGACGTGGCTATATGTAGGTGCAAACAATACACCTGATCTCAACAATTAAACACCTCTAAATAATAAATCAACGAGAACAAAAGGTCCTTTTCTCACATACGTTAAATTCGGTTCCGGAACGAATAGCCGATGTTTAAACAGTCGACAAACGAAACAAGGAAACAAGCTCACTTTCGAACACATTCCTAACCCGTTTTACCGATATGGGAAATATTATTGTGTATACGTAGGTACAATATTATTATAATCATATTGGCAAAAAAACGACCAACCAGTACGCGTATTACTTGTAGATCGGGCCATTCAGTCAGGCGATCTCTCCACAGTAACAGTAAATTATACTAAACATCCAAGACATAACACTTGCGCCAAACGTTGACCACATTCTCAAACAAATCCATAATGTTCTTGAAAAAAAAAAAAAAACCCAATAAATTTGTACTGTACTTAATATAATGTTTTCTCAAAACGTCTAATTGTGTATGCATTAAAAAAATAAAAAAAAAAAATACACGATTTAGAAAATTACGCTTATTGTATGAATATTTTAAGTTATGATTAATGACGATTAATGACTATAACGGCCCCCGTGGACGAGGTTTGCCTAAACGAAGAGAGAAAAAAATATCATGTCTAGACCCGCATCTCACCCCCACTAGCTCGTTTTGTCCGGCGGCAGCGGCGTCCACAACAACGACATATCAATATACTAATAATAATGATAATAATAATATCTATCGCACAATCGTTATTCGTATCACATACATCGTTTTACACGGTACGTGTTCGCAACGATGTTATTATTTGCATTGCTTGCAATAACGGTGTAAACGCCACGTTCGCGTCCTCCATGCAGTAGCCAGTAGCGCTGCGGTGGAACGATGGCGGGTGACGTGCGTTGCGCAGTAGCGGAATATCATTGTACCCTATGGCCACCCGGCCCGGAACGACGCGCCGCCTCGTGCAGAGCACAAAACACGACAAAATAATGCGCCGCGTACGGGTGGTGGTAGTACACACGCGCAAACACGCGCGACCCGATCCGGCGGACGACGGCAACGCGAGACACGTCTACGCGCGTCGTACCGCAACAACAATAATAATAATAATAATAATACGGTCGTTGTCGCGGCGGCGGCGGCGTGCAGGACGACTACGCTTGGACCGCGTATTTCGTCGGTACGCGTTTATTGTGGTCACGTCGCACGTCGTGTCGTACACCCCGGTGCCGGCGACGATCAGAATCTCGGATCAGTCGGCAGTCGTGTCGCAGCGTCGTACGAGTACGCACGCACGCGGTCGCGGGTCATACGAGTCGTCGCAGTGTTCGCCGTGTACGGTCGCGACGGTAATAACAATATAATATTATATTATAATAATATTACGGACGTCGATTGCCGCCGCCATTGGAATCGATTCCATCGGTTTTCACGGCTCTTTTCCCAGTCGCAGATCGCGGGGACTTTGCCGGTGACGACGATGCCGGCGTGAGCCGTCCAAAATCCCGCCGAGTGGAGCGCTCGACCGCCGTTCTGCGTGCACGTGTGTGTGTGTGTGTGTGTACCTACCGTAGCACTCGTCGCAGTCTTCCGCCGCAGCTGTTTGTTGACGGTGCTGTTGTCGTTGTTGTCGTCGTCCGAGGTGAGTTTCCTAACAGGCGCGCGCGCCAAGTGCGTCCTCCTCGAATACCTTTTGATCATTTTTTTTTTTTTTTTTATGAAGTATTCGAGTACACGCATACGCCCTAATAGACCAGGGGTCACCAAACGGCGGCCCGTGGACGGAACGATTTATCTGTTCCGCGAACGTGGAATTTATATTATTTTTTTTTTTTACTGACGGTGAATCAAACAAAGTTTTTACTTGTTTAAATTTAGTTTTCTGATCTCGCCTTTACTATCTTTGGATAATCGTGTATATCGCACGTATAGATGGTCCCCTGGAAATTTCCCGAATCCTGGGAGATTCTCGTTGCTCATCGCGAACCGGGCAGAGCATTACCGTCATGATGTCCTATTAAAGGAAACGCGAGATATATTTTTAAATCATTGTACGATTTTCGGTATTTATTTGTATACATTACACATACCGTTCTACGATCTCATGTCGCCGTTGTTGTTATTGTTGCTCTCCTACATAAGGATTAATATGAGGATATAGAAACCAGATTAACTGAATATTGCAGTGACGCCGTTGTCCGACATCATCCGTATAATGTATGATATTTTTTGCGCGCCGGCGAAAATGCCGGTTGCGGCGGCGCACGCAAGTACGCATATGTATTTAATAACTAGGTGAACCGTTTGGCGGTTTGAAAATGTAAAATATTGTAAAATTCAAACTTGTAAAATATATTTTTTAAATTATATTTAAATATATTGATATAAGTACAAATACTTGGCATGTATTTAAATACGCTTCAAATACTTTTCAAATTGTATAAGTAGGTAAGAAAATTAGTTTTAAAATTGATATTTAATATTTTAAAAATTTTTTTGTCACACTTAAATGTTGTACAACTCGCCATTTACTGAAATATTAAAATAAATGAAAATTTATTATGTTATGATTCTAAAATACTCAAGTATTTATCGAACAATAAACAGTTGTTGATAAAATATAAATTAAATGTTTAATAATTTGATTTTAAATAAATAAAATAATATAATAATTATCAAAAAGCAATCTGAAATGCAACAAATAATTTTTTTGAATTTTTAAAATTATTTTATTTTTAAATAGAAATATGTCCAAAAGTACTTAAATAAAACTTCTATGCACTATCCAAAAATCACGACAATTTATCATGCGTCAGCCGTCTAGATTATCCATACTCACTTGTACAATTATAATGTAAATTATAAGTATAATTTATTTGTTTCACATCTCTAAACATTTTTATAAAATATTTATCTTCATTTATTTTGAATGTAATCGTGCAATTTAAAATAAGTACCTTTGGAAAATTGCGTACTTACGTAATATATGACGATGTATAAATTCCAAAGATATTTATTAAAATATTGTTTTATTTTATCGAAAATTCAAAACGTCAATCAGCACGATTGTCACTTAATTTGGGTCGCGACTGAAGGTTAAGAACCGCTGATTGTACTACCTACAATTGATTAAAGTAAAAGTGTAGAACAATAAAGTAGGTAACGCATAATATAAAGGAAGATAGGTAGTTCAATTTAGTAAAAATAAAAAAAAAAATGTTTGTTTTTTTAGAATATTCATTTATTTGTTATATCTTTACTAAAAGAAATACTACAATTATTAAATTTTACAAAACGCATACTATATAGTTATCTCCCAAAATATAAGAATAGTCTCCTATCCTTATCGCACATAAAAAAATTAATTTTACTTGTTGCTTTTGCTAATTAAGAAATCCATAATTATGTGCGAGGTGCCTTATAAAATATTTTACTAGTTGCTCCTCACTATGGAATCAAAAAATAGTTCATAAACTTCACTAAAATATATCATTCAAATAGGTGCAGAATTTATGTGCTTAAATATATAGTATATTGTGTTATAGTTTAAAAAAAAATAAATTTATAATAATATATGTATTTAATGTAATATTGTATAATATAGATATTATATGATGAGTAGGATATAGTACACAATTATCATAACTGTTATAATTTTTGATAGTCATTTTTTTATTTGTTATGAGTATAAAATGTTTTTAGTACACGTAAATATAAATTGTCTTCTGAAAACAATAAACAGAAAAAATGGATTAGCATAATATGATAACCGTTAGGATTGAGATTGGGAGGTACATATTGTATTCATGTAACTTAAATTTATTTATTTGAGCAGGTTATTGATCTTTTCAGTTGGTAATATGTTTAATCTTTAGGATAAATTATTTTTTAAGATTTAATTTTACAATAATAATTGAAATATATTACCAGTTTTTTTACATACTTATTACATAAATATGATGTTTTATATACACCTACGTGATTACATAAAAATTAATCAGAATAAATAGGTATTTTATTTGTGTTTAAATAAAATTAACATAATATTAAGTTAAACATTTTACTTATTAATTTATTTTTAGTACATATATCATAGTATTATACATATACTTAATTTGCCTAATACAGTAATTTCTCTTTAGATATAACTATGACAAAATTTTATTAGTCAATATATTTTTACGTATGTGTATAATACATGAATAAGAAGTAGTATTATTTTTTCACCAACACATGATTTAATTTGTAAACAATAATAATTAGAATTTTACAATTTTTGTCATCATTTAGATTCTTACTTTAGGTGTTGTAATAAGCTTTACTGATTGCATAAAATATAATATATGAACTTTAATAGTACTTTTTTTCCGATTTCAGCTGTTTTATGAAAGGGAGCGGGTGAGAATTATTTCCCTGATATATAAAATATACCTAGGAAAATTAATTAGACAATTAATTGTTGACTGTTAATAATAATCACTTTAACTTGTTTTGACTTTTCTATAAATATGCAAAACATAGAAAATATAAACAACCAGTTTTATTGGGGTTTCGGGTACAATATTTTTATTTACGTCGTTCTAATATTATATTATTTAAAATTATTTGAATTACTGTTGATAAACGATCATAATATAAAATACATATTTTTTTTTTTCATTTAAATTTACAATACATAATTTGCATGCACAACTAATAAGAATATATTAATATTTATCAAAGCACGAGATTTTATTCTTAGGTAATTTGTTTTATGAATTTAAAACACAAATGATTTATAAAAGTGACTATTTTTAAATAAGTACCTAATATGATTTTAAATTAGAAATAGATTTTATTAAAATATAGGTTACATAGTACAACCGTATAGATACTATGTTTTAGATTCTGAGTAGTGCGATTATAGTGTATTAATTTTTTTAATGTTGGTTTTTAATAGAAAATAAAATTCATTGGTACCTAATTTCCAGTAGTTAAAAAAAAAAATAAAAATTTTTGGGTAAATCTATAATATAATTTATTATATAAGTTTTAATTTAAGTATGACTATGTTTTTATTTTTTTTATAAAAATTTTAAAAATTTCATGAGATTCCCTATGATATGTCTTTACCAAAAATTTAAAAAATAAAGTTGTTTTAAACTTTAAACTGTATTATACGTATAGCACTAACATACATTCACACACATTCAAAATAATGATTTCTCCTCAAGCTTTGTTACATTGATGTAGGTAATTCAAAAAATATTAACCAAAAATCTTTAAGCATTGTACCATTTTATATAATTTTCTATGCACAATTCAATTTTCTAAATGTTAAGATTAATTTTAAAGCGATATTTCTGCAATTTTAGAATTTGAACGGAGCGATGAATGTATTGATTTTACAATAATGCGTTAGTCAGTGTATATTATATAATAAGTAGTGGATAAAATAGTTTGATTTTCAACTTTGAAGGTGGTTTTAGATAGAAAATTAGATTTAGTTTGTACTATAAGGAAGCTACAATTAAAAATTTCTAGTATTTTTTTTCAAAATCTAGAAAAACAAAAAAAAAAAAAATGTGAAAACCGCTAATTTTTGCGCAAATCCAATTTTTAACAAATTTAATTTAATTTAATTTTTTTTTTATTTTGGTGTAAGTGTGCAACTTAAAATTGAATTAACGTAGATAATTAAACATTTGATAAAATTTTTATGTTATCATTTCATATTTACAATATAATTTTCAATTTATATTAAATAGGGATGGTAAATTTTTAATAATTTAGTTTACTCTCTATGAATATTGATTAAAAAATTTTCGCTGGATAGAAATGCTTGAAAATGTATTACAAAGTTCTTCATAAGTTGTTACTTGATCAATTAAAAAACATCGAAAATCTATAGGCATGATATTTGTTTTGTAATAGTTTGAAGTATAATTATGTTGATAACAATAACTAAAATCACGAAAATATACACATTTTTTTTAGTTAAAAATGTATATTATGTAATTTTCAATTTTAATAACTAAGAATTGAATATTTTATTACAAGGTTTGTCTTTAGTTTTTTTTTTTACTAATAGTAATTTAAATATATAATAAATTATTTTCAATATAATTATTGACGGTATTCGCTTAGATTCATTTATTGTGTGGAATGCTATATCATTGAATTTAAATTTAATACGTCCATTTTTGTAACCTATTCACATATGAAATATAGTTGACACCTACAATATATAGTCGAGTGACTACCGCGGTTTTTTCATTTACCTATAGCTGAATAATTCAAAAAATTTGTTTTAGTAGGTGTTTATTTTTTGCTTAAACTTTTTTCCGTCTGAATTTTCTTGTAATTATATAAATAGATGATATGTCACTGCTTAAAATAACTGATTACCACAGTTGTTAATTGTTTATTAATATTCATCATAATGTATCATTGGATATGATGGTAAATTCATTTAGTAACTTTTCTGGTTTCTTCAAATATTAAGATTTTATTATTAGATTTACAAATAAACATGTTTTTAACTAATTTACGTTTAATTAAAAATAATGAAAGGTTTTTTTCATAAATTATATTTGTACACTATTATAATTTATAACTTATAACTTATGTTGAGAGATAAATTATAAATTTAAAATTTATATT